AATGGCCCTGGGGGGGTGGGATTCTGGGGCAGGCAAACGCCAACCCTGCTCGGCTTACCATGGTCATGCTGGAAAGCTGGACCAGGGGCTCGTTGGGGGGCACCAAGAAGATCCCGAGGTTGGCCGAGACGGAGACGCTTGTGCCGGAGGGCTTGATGGCGCAGGTGGGCGGGGCCGTCACCTGCAGCTGCAGCATCAGCGGCGCGTCCACCACGGAGGGATTCTGGAGGGCAGAGGGAGGCCGATGGGAGCCGGGAAGAGGTCCCTGGCCTGCCCCGGAGCGGGAGTGCCCTGCCCCCTCTGGGAGGGGCTCCTCCTGCCCAGGGGCCTCCATGGCCAGGTGCAGTCTACCTCTGCCTCACTGTCGGGGAGAAGCGGCCTCCTTCAAGCCCGCCTCGTGGGCTTCCGGCAGCAGCTGGCTGGGAACCAGAGGCTGCGTTGGGTGGTCCCACTGGGGCCTGATCCGGCAGGTGCCTCTCACGCTTGCCACAGCTTTAAGAGCAGGCACTGAAGGATGGGGGGGGGGAGTGGAGAATGACAGCAGGAGCCCCCCTCCCTCTTCTGGCCCGGCCTCTTCCTCTTCCCAGGAGCGCTGCATGCAAAAGCCACTCCCTTGAGGGAAAGGGACACCAGAGCTCAGAGGCCTGGCACTGCCAAGGGGGCTTGGGTGGGCCTGGGCCCAGCACGGGCAATGCTCACTGCTTCTTGCAGCTTCAGCCTTCAGGAGAGCAGGGCACCCGGGCACTACCCCTGCTGGCATCATGTCTATCGTCTGGGGAGGGGAGGGAGGGTCTGCAAAACCTACCCATTGTGGAGACGTGGCCAGTCTCTGTCTCCTGCCTGAAGACCGCTGAGGCCCCTTCGACCCCAGCAAGCTCCGGCTGCCGAGCGGGCCGAGACCTCCACTCCGCCTTGCTGGCACAGGGAGGCTGGGCAGGAGGCCTTGGGTGGCACACACCGGGCTTGGGGCACTTCAGCCTGCTCCCCCTGCCAACCAACCGCCTCCCCCCAGCTGTGCCACCTACCAAGAGCATGATGCTCCCGAAGAAGGAGGCCCGCAGCAGGACGTCCAAGTCTTTGGGCACCTGGGAAGGGGAGGAGAGCAGAGCCTCAGGCCGGGCATGGCCCCCACCCCCGCCTGCCCGGAGGGCCCTTCGCAGACACACAGAGACACACAGACCTGTTCGCCAGCAAGCTCCATCCTCAGAACACCGGCGTGGTAGTAGGCAAACAGGGCGGAGTCGAAGAAATACTCGGAGAGGGACACGTACACCATGCGCTCCGTCTCCTTGACAAGAGGCTCCGTGGCCAAGTTGGGGAGGGTCCGGTTTTCATCCTCCAGAGGGAAGAATGAGCCCTGGGGTGGGGAGGGGGGAGGCAGGTCGGAGGCAGGCCCCTGCTTTCAGACACACAAACACCCCACTGCCACCCACCCACCCAGGTGCTTGGGAAAGTGTCCCTGCTGACTGACCGCATCAGGTGGCCCTGGGGGCAGGCCTTTGACCCCCCGCCAGTCCAATGTTCCCTCTAAGCTGTGTGGAGTCTTGTGAGCAAAAATCCTACTTTGTGAGCTCCTGGCATTAAAGTTGTGAGCGAGTGATTTGGATGCTGCATAAATTAGTTTGCTCTGGAGCCCTCCTTCCTGAGCTGAGACAAAAATGTGTGAGCCGGAGGCTAAAAAACTGTGAGCTAGCTCACACCCAGCTTAGAGGGAACACTGCCCACCGCATCCTGCAGCTCCTCTTGGCCTCCCCAGCACTCCCGGGACCCCATCCTGCTCTCTCCCCAAGCGCTGGGGGGGGGCTTCAAGTTGCCCACAAAAGGCAAGCCACAAACCCAAATTTATGGGGCTCTTTGTCGGGTACTGAAGGGCTTCCTTTTGGAGCTAAGCGGAGGCAACAGCGGCCACGGCCTGAGCCCCACAGGGAAGGACTCAGCAGGTACTCAACAGCAGGGCCTGCCTTTGGGAGAGGCACGGTGGAAGTCCTCGGCCCGCAGGCCTGGCTCTGGCGACACCTGGGCATTTGGGGAGGAAGATTCGTGTGGAGGAATTGGGGGGGGGGGTGAGTCTCGCTGCATTCCCTGAGCTGCGGCCCTGGTGCCAGTTTGGTGCAGTGATTAGGAGCGC